AGGTATAAGTGGACCCATGCATTCAAACCCATGTTGTTCAAGGGCCAACTAAAGTTTACTGTAATTTTTAAAAGGCCTTAAATATCTTTAAAAAACCTCTGAAATTCAAATTTTTATTTAAAAGTCTTATACCAAGAAACTGTATCTAGGCATAGAAGGTTTACAGAATTCCAAAAGAAAGTCTAATGACTTCTCTTTAAAAAAAATTTTTTTAATCTCTATTGTTGAAAGTATTCCAGATATCCCCCTTTCCCCACTGATCCCATCCACCTGTGCGCCCCGCCACACGCCTTCACCACACTATTGTCTGTGTCCATGGGTTATGCATATATGCATATAAGTTCTTTGGTTAATCTCTCCCCACTCAACCCTGCTTTCCCTCTGAGATTCATCAGTCTATCCATGGTTCTATGTCGCTGGATCTACTTTGTTCATGAGTTTATTTTGTTCATTAGATTCCACATATGAGTGAGATCATGTGATACTTGTCTTTCTCTGACTGGCTCATTTTGATAGTAACTTCTCTTTTAAACTGACTTTTCTTGCCCGGCCAGGCGTGGCTCAGCGGTTAAGCGTCGACCTAGGATCCAGGTGATCGGGGTTCGATTCCCGGTCAGGGCACATGCCTGGTTGCGGGCTCGATCAATGACCCTCTCATCATTGATGTTTCTACCTCTCTCTCTCTCCCTCTCCTTTCCTCTCTCTGAAATCAATAAAGACATATTAAGAAAAAGAAAAAATAAACTGACTTTTCTTTTAAGTTATATCAAACTTACCATAACTATCGTAGAGTCTCAGCACAAGAGTGGCTTTTAGGAGGTCATTCAGTTTATTCCAATGATCATCTCTGGAAAGTTCACACCGAACTATCACAGGAAGAGGTGTTTGTTCCTTCTGCTATGAAAGAGTTGACCATGATCCTCACTAAACTACTCTGAAGTACGGATGTTCTCCTTGCATTTGAAAGTATGGTAAGTTATTATCTACTTTAGACTAATATTAAAGTTACGACGCTCACATCACAGAGAAAAAAACAGGATGATGAAGAACTTGTAGCACACAATGGGGGACAGTCAGATGAGGACATTGTTGGCGTGCATGTGCGTGTGCGCGTGTGTGTGTGTGTGTGTGGTGATGCACAACAGGAGTGAGCTGACAGAAAGTCGAAGCCAATTAGCAAACAGCTGCTTCCCTAGTTCTCCAACGCCTTCTGATTTGGCTCCCTCACCCCAGCATCGTTACCAGCAAATTCTATTGTGTGTGCTCTTGATTCACGGCTTTGGCACATATGAACCTCCTAGAGCCTCTTCACCTAAAGTGGCCGAGCAAACCAGGCCAATCCTACGTGCCTCAAGCCCTTACTTCCCAGAGTCATTCTAGGCATCCTTTGAATTTCCTCCTAGGGGGACCTCAAAAGGTATCAGGGTCTGTCAAGAATAAATCCAAAACGTTCTGAGCTAATTTTGCTTCAGGCCAGACCTAGAAATATAATTGTCTTGTTGAAATGAATTTAATATTAGAATCTAGCTGGCTTCCAGATGGCATCTTTCATATTTTCACTTCCCAAGTGCGACGGGAAGAATCTCTCCACCAGGATAACGTGTATTTCTACTTCGGCTGTTACTACTGCTACTATCGCTAGTGATAATAATAAATAGCCTTTACACATATAGCATGGATTAGGTACTAGACTACTCTACATATGTAAGACCTACTTAGTCTGCCTTACAACCTTATGAGGTAGGTTTTGTTTATTATTTCTGGCTTAAAAACTTACCCATGATCACACAGCTAGTCAGGGGCAGTACTGAGATTCACGCCTGGCAACTGGCTCTAGAATCCAAGCTTTTAGACACTCGATCATACAACTTTTGCTTGTATAATGCGAAGAATATCCCACCAAGACCAAACACCTGGGTTTCCAGTCCCACCTCCAATGCTGAGTTAACTGTGTGACTTAGGGCAAGTCTTCGACTCAATTTCCACTATATAATGAGACAGGCCCAAGGAATCACTTTTAGTTACACAATCCTGTGATGATAAAGTAGGCACTTTTCATTAACAAACTTGACTTCACTGTATGAGTCAGGGTGTCTGAACCTTGATAATAAAATATATCTATGGGAAGGAAAGATGCAACTAATAACTAAGTCAATCTTCTGATCATTTTTAGTTATTTTCTCATTTCACATTCTATAATGTGAGCATTAGATCAATATTTTACAGAGAAAAGCACAGACTCAGAGCTGGTTAATTTCTCTGAGGCCACACAGAAAGTCAGGATGGAGAGCCAGCACAAGAACGCGGCCAAAGCCCAAGCACTTTCTGCCAGATCGCAGTGCTCCTCTGGCACCGTCTTTTTCTCTTCTCAGCAGCACAGAGCAGAGATTTAAAAGGTAATATAGAGATTAACCAAATAGCTTATATGCATATATGCATAACCCATGGACACAGACCATAGTGTGGGGAAGGCCTGGGGCAGGGAAGGAGGGGTCAGTGGGGGAAAAAAGGGGATATCTGTAATACTTTCAACAATAAAGATAAATGAAAAAAATAATAAAAGGTAATATACTTAAAGTACTTAGCACAAGGTCTTGCAAACAGCACAGACACAAGAAACCGACTTGGAGGAGAAGATGGAGATAGATAGGTGAATACCAGCTTAAAAGCTCTGACAGATTGTAATTTTAAACAAAAGCAGGTAATTTTTGTGATATGGGCTGAAGGCCATATCAAAACAAGTGAATTTCTGGAGGGAGAGTTTGAATTTATCCGCAAGTGAACAGTGCAGAAACACCGCAAGAGTGCCAACATGTGCGTCATTTCTGGATCACACACGTGAGTTCTCGTGGTATTTTGCTGCATGAAATGACTTCCCAATAATAACTCAGAATTATTTTGTTAAAAGGAAACTCCCTTTTTCCTAAGCCAGAATTTCACAAGCGATACCAATGACAAAGGAATGTCTCTTACGTATTGGCTACTTAAAGGAGGGCAGGAGAGTCAGAAACCACGGTGCTAACTTACTAAGTTCCTATTTTGGTTTGGAAATGGAGTCACCTGCTCATTCATGAAGTCAACCAACACATAATAACTGAACAAATAATCATTGAAGAGTTTTTGAAAAACAGGCCTGGTCCCACTGCAGAATACTGACAGGTTTGGAAACTACTGGACTACAAGACCTTTAAGGTTCTTTCCAACCCTGGGATTACTTTACTTGCAAATACTTTGTATACATGCAGCACCCAACAGCTTTTACCAGCGGGGGGTGGTGTCATATACATTAACCACCAACATGACACAGTGTAAAAGCATTATTTCTATAAGACAGCAAAGGTCCTGTTTCCTAGCAGTAAGTACTCATATTACTGTCCCAGAGAAACTCATAGGAAATAAACTGAAGATTAAAACACATGCAACTTCAACTTCAGCTTTTTCCCTGTTGTTACTTGACACAAACGCAATCATATTTCTGAGGCAGGAATGTGGGGAACTGGCTCTCATGTAAGCAGCAATTATTGCAGAGGCAATGGGGAGACAGGAGTGAGGTAGGAGATGGCGGCACATTATACTGGCTCTAACTCAGAACAATCCCACCGAGCCAGGCGAGTGTTAGCATTTTCTCTAATGTGGCATTTCATCTACATCAGCTGTCCTCAATCCTATTAAACCATATGCCACCTTTTTTTCATATAAAAGTCTATGCATATACATTTATTTCTATCCTGAAATGAAACTCACAGATGTTTAAGAGAATTTCAAAAGTTGTACTGATAATTCTGCCTCCTCTCTTCTACCTCCCATAAAAAATTCTTTCTCCTGAGTTTTCTAGGTAATCAAGGTCAAACTGTGAAGACATAACCATTTTCTTTTATCCACACTAATGCAAAGATACACAGTAACCTAAGTAATTTATATATGGCACTGAAATGTACTGTTTATTTGGCGGAAGGATCTCTTCCTAATTAAATTTTTATTAGGCTTCTATTAAAAAGTAATTTACATTTCCTGATCAACCAATGACTAAAGCTTATGTCTTTTGGGGGCAGGTATGGGGCTGCCTGAGTCTGAGAACTTGCTGAGTACTGAGAATGACCTAAGGATTTTGCAAGTTTCACTAACTGGAATTTAGCTATATAATTTATTTTGGGCAATGAAAAAAATGCCATGCTTCCACATAGATTTTATGTTAAATTAGCACATCATTCATAGAAATATCAGATATGCACTCACTTTAAATAAAGGTGATAAGGACTTCTTTTTACAAAAAAGGATTCACAGAGCAGGAGAAAATCACCACAGGACTCCTTTGAACATAAAACTCCTGAGTTAAAAATGCCACTTAAAAATTAATAAGTTAATGACTGAATATCCACTCAATTTCTACACATTATGAACGATTTTCTTAAAATGCCCAGTGAAATGGTATTCAGCCTCAACAGGCGAAATGGCCATTCCAACAGATGTTTAGCTTGTTTTTCCCCTTCAAATTTCACTAATAGAGTCACTAATTCATTTAACCAGTAATACCTATAAGAAATCGACATTCCATTTTTTTTTAATGATCCTAATCTTTCCTCGTATCTAAAATGGGTAAAAATTCGCCTTACATCCTAGCACAGGCGTCACCTTATGATAAAGACCTCGGCAAACGTTTATGCACAGCAAACATGTGGTGGTTAAAATAACTCCTATTTTAGTATTCTGATTTCTCGTTATTTTTATAAATGAACTTTAACTGTATGCAGAGCCTTCATGTCTGTGTACCACGTGATGTGAGATGCACTTTTGAGTCAGTTTTAAGCAACCCGACCATACATACCAGCTCTGAAATGCTTTATGATTCACAGAAAGGCTAGGCCTTCTTAACCAACCTCAGAAACCCCATTTCCTATTATTAAACAGAGAATCCTGGTGCTGCTAAAAAACAAACAAGCAACCCTACGCTCACAGGGGTGCAGCGCAGATCAAACGCGTAACGCAGAGCTCCCACTTACTTGGTACTGGGCCGTTTCTGCAGCGCTTTATCCAGGATAAGAGATGGGGCGCTCCTCCTCCTCTCCGCCAGCGTTTTCATTTTCTGTTGAGGAAGGAGAATCATAATGAAGACCATGTGGCTTGCAGGGACAGTAAATGCCAATCGAATTCAGCAAGTTTTACAGTGCCTATCTTTGTCTATGAAGAAGTTTGCCATCTCATTGTGGTGATAAAACAGTAACATCTAAACTAGGATACTAAGTGTCAAAAAGTAGTACAGAAAGTAATTTTTTTTTTAAAGAGGAAGGGAGAGGGAGGGGAGGAGGGAGGAACATGCACGTGAGAGAAACATCGATCGGTTGCCTCCTGTATACACCCTGACCGGGGATCAAACCCGCAACCTAGGTATGTGCCATGTCCGGGAATCGAACCCACAACCTTTTTGGTGTATGGGGCGATGCTCCGACCAACTAAACCACCCAGCCAGGGCGAAAGAAACTATTTTTTATGGCCTGAGAATAAGGTCAAATGCTGACCAGAGTATTTGGAAAAAGCATGATCATAACCACTACCATCCTCTTCCACTAATGTCCACGTTGCTCATTACGTGTTGGGCCCTGTGCTAAAGGCAGAACTGGATTATCTCCTTTATACGCCAAAATGTCATGGACGTAGGCTCTACTGTCTGTATAACGGGCAGGTGGGCCTCAAGCTGGGCTTCGAGAGAAGACAGGGTTTGAAGAGCCCAAGTAAAGCAAGGCAAAAAAACACAGCAAAAGATGGAGACTAGGTTCAATAGACCTTAAAATTTAAATATTTACAGATTTGGAAATACCTTCTTCAAACAGGGTTTTTCTTTGGTGTAATTAAAAAAAAGTGATTTTTTTTTTTTCTTTTCTAGGTATTATGTAATATAGAATTAACTGTCTCAGAGGACCTTAAATTTGTGGTAAATGAGGTTTGATTTAGCTTGAATTATCTATATCATGACTCTCTAAATTCAATCTTATATATTTAATCCTCTAGGCAGCGTCAGAGGGCCTGCCGGTGTATATGGATGAGTAAACTTAGCAACAGCCCCAAAAGGGCCACGACTGAAGTTCAAGCTGCCTTACCAAAGCCACTCTTTCCACTCTGCCCTCTCGTCCTGTCCTGGCCAGAGGTCTCACCCACTGCCCGAGGGTCCGGGCCGCCCCGCCTGGGAGCTGGACGCTGCTCTCACAGAACCGCGTAGGACTAACCGGCTCAGCGTCAGAAGGGAATTACACGATTCATAAAGGAACTGCTTCTTAGCTGCCGAAATAAAGCCTGGACCCTAGCGTAGGGACAGAGGTGACTCATCCAGTGGGAAGGGGATGCTGGACTCTCTGGCTCAGTTCTTCTCCCCCAAACTCACCGTGCCCCCTCCCCCCCAAGATCTCTCCCAAGTTACTGCTGTCACCAGTGCCATGCCCTCAGGGTTGCCGTTTCCCCCATTAATCTCTTGGCTCCCATGTGGACACTGCATGCCCAAACCTCCTTAGCATAGCTCAGATAGCAAATGAAACAATTATATAAAACATTAATAAAAGGACAGGAAACAAACAGATAAGAAAGACAGAATGCAACATTTTTCCATCGGGAGTTATTAACCATGAATCGGTTTCAGGGCAGGTTAAACTGTATAAAACCATTTGTATAATATGTATTTGGTGCCTTCCTTCTGGAGAGGAAGCCCACCTGTGGTTTCATCAGAGTCCCACAACTGCCTGCAATCCTCTCAGCCCCAGGGATTTTGATAACCAACTTCCTATCAGGGCTTGCAAACCGCATCCCCCCGTCTCCATTAGTCACACCTCTGCGGAACCGAACTCCCAGGAATCTAACATCTGGAGGCGAGTGTGACCGCAGCTACAGGGCACGCGGAATCTGGAGGACAAGCGCCCGCCCCAAGTGAAGCGTGTCAATACTGGAAGATTGGGTTGATTTTTACTAAGAAAATGTGGCAGTCTGTTCATCTGCAGATTTTCTGTGGGATTCTGTTGTACACTCAGTTCCGGGCTTGTTTCCTGCTCACTGGTCCGACTCCTTTATTCAGGATCTGTTTACTATGCTTTGAACTCTGAAACGTGCCCAATCCATTTAACCCTGACCTGGGCCCGACCCTCTGTCTCTTTCGACGCTGAGGGTCTGTGTGCCCAGCCTTCCTTAGCGGGGTGGGGGGTGAGGGGGGCCTTCCTGGATCTATCTCAGCAGTCTCACTTCCGCCGCCCCTAACCCTAGAAACCACTCACTGTCAGCAGATCCTGGACTCCACCTGCATTAGGATATAATTTCTAATTCTGAGCTACCTGGCTTTCAGGTTTATAAAGAATTTGGGAAGGGTTCAAAAGACAGCCGTAAAAATGACTTAAATTGTGGAGGGAAAAAAAGAGCCTATGAGAAAAGTTAAACTGATCTGAAATCCTTCATTTGGAAACACTGGTAATCTTCGAGTTAATACAACGGACTCATAAGGTGGAGGACAGATAGTATCTCCCGAGGAAGGTAAGGCAAAGAGAAACTGTTAAGCTGCAGGCTGAGAATGCAGGTTGACTTTGGGTAGTGGTTCTTTGAGGAATTTACAAAAGCTGTGAACTACATTGTGCACATAATTTCGGGATATTCAGAAACCCACATCATACAGATTCCTTAGGGATTCATGGAATCCAAATACGAAACCTTCTGATACAAGGAAATCTTTCTGAGAGTGATGGCTGTTAAACACGAGGACAGATAACCCAAGAGGGGTGACATAATTTCTTCTGTAAAGCTGCTATTAAAATAGTTTGTCCTGGAGACCTAATATAGAGGGTCGTCTGTGTACATAGTAAAGCTGCGCTCTGGTAGTTACAAAACTGTCAGACATATGAGGAGCTAAGTGGAGTGTATCTACTTCATCTAGTGAACGCACATTCAAGAGAATGCAATCAAACCACAGGCAGAATATTATATTTATTTGAGATCCTACTGTTTGTACTGAGACTGACTGTGCCACTAATGAGCTATGCAGCTCCAGGCAATCCCATTACTTCTCTAGGCCTCCATTTCCTCACCTACAAAATGAGAAAAACCCAACTACACAGCTTCCTAGGTACCTTCTGTTTCTGATAGTCTCATGTTAAGTGTCCACCAAAGACTCACCTTGGATTTGCAAGATAATAAAATTTCCTACATCACACAGTTAGAATTAGATTTCTCTTGTGAGAAATAAGTCTTAAGAGTTGCCAATATAATGAGGGCTTAATAAATAGATTTAAGTATTAATTAATTCAAAATACACAGATCTTTTTTTTTTTTTTGCTCAAAAGTATAGCAAAACAAAGGGTCAATAGTAACTTTGAAACAAATTCCCATATCAAAGAATGCGTTCTCAGGCAATAAAGACTTCGATTTTCTTGCTGCTGATAACCACTGTGTGAAATACAACGCATGGGAATAGAATGAGATTACTGATTCTCTACTAACGTACAAAAGTACAAACTTGTCAGGACAGGTCGCACCAATAGATTTTTTTTTTTTTCTTAAATATATCTTTATTGATTTCAGAGAGAGGAAAGGAGAGGGAGAGAGAGAGACAGAAACATCAATGATGAGAGAGTCATTGATGGGCTGTCTCCTGCATGGCCCCCACTGGGGATCGAGTTTGCAAATGGGGCATGTGCCCCAGCCGGGAATCGAACCGGGATCTCCTGGATCCTAGGTCGTTGCTTAACTGCTGAGCCACGCCAGCCAGACAGTTTTAGGCGAATTTTAAAAGTCACTCATTCTCCACATCTATATCACTATCCTCAAACGCGCACACACACAGAAAAACAAACACACACAAACAAACAAACCTTTAGAGGGCTCTGCTGGAAGGTCCTCATTCCAGCATTCGCTATGGAGCAGGATGGTAAGAGTCATCCTTGCACACTGCAAACTACATCTTTTGACATAGTGTTGATATTTGCCACTTTGAGCTACATGACAAACATTTCTCTGATGATAAATTTAATTACTTTCCAATAAATGGTGCCAGGACAACTGGATACCCACACGCAAAAGAATGAAGCTGGACTCCCATCTCATGCCATATACAAAATGTAACTCAAAATGGATCAAAGATCTAAAAGAGCAGAAATATAACATTTTTAGAAGAAAATGTAGGCAGAAATATTTGTGACCTTGAATTAGGCAACGGTTTCTTAGATATGACACGAAAAGCACAAAAGAAGACAATGTAAATAAGACATGACGGTCAACATGAAAAACTTCTGAGCTTCAAAGGACACTCTTAAGAAGTGAAAAGAAAACCCACAAAATAGGAGAAAAATTTCTGCCAATCATAAGGGATTTGTATCTAAAATATATAAAGAATTGTTACAATTAAATAAAGACGAGGAAGCCAATTTTAAAATGGGCGAAGGATCTGAAGAGACAGTTCTCCAAAGAAGATACACAACAGCCAATAAGCACATGAAAGACGTTCAACATCATTAGCCATCCGGGAAATGCAGATCGAAACCACGAAACAGCACTTTATACTCTCCAGGATGACCATAATAGAAAAGGCAGCTAAATAATTGTTGATGGGCCTGTGGATACACTGGATTCCCCATGGCCCAGTCATGCTCCTGATCGACACGTGTCCTGCTGGCGGGGACTGTAAAATGGTGCCATCACTCGGAAAATAGTTTGGAAGGTCTACAAATGGCTAAAGATAGTTACCATATGATCCTGCAATTCTTCTTAGGTACATACAAGGGAAAACATGTCCACACAAAAACATGAATGTTTACAGTAGCATTATTCATAATAGTCAAAAGTGGAGACAACTCCCATGTCTATTAACTGATGAACAAATAAACAAAATGTGGTATGTACATCAAATGGAATATTACTTGGCAATGAAAGTACTGACACGTGCGACAACATGAATGACTCTTGAAAACATTATGTTAACTAAAAGAAGTCAGTCCCCAAAGGCCACATATTATATGGTCTGTTACAGGAAATATACAGAATAAACAAATCCATAGAAACTTAAAGCAGATTAGTGCTTGCCTGGGGTCTGGGGAGAGGAGAGAATTGGGACGTGATGGCTCAGGGGTGTGGTGGCTCTTTCTGGGGTAATGA